TCTCTGTGGAAAATCCTAGACTGTCTCCTTGTGAACAGTGCAGTTACGCTCGCTAGTGGGAAGTCAGAGTGGGTTTTTTATGTGCTGTTGTGTCTGAATCTTTCATGACCACCCCGGTGCAGTGTTATGTAACAGTCTAGTGTAGAACGTCCTGATGTGTTACGGCAGCCATTACTAATTTACTGTCTGGCTGAGAGGAGGAAAACCAGCTGAACTTCTAATTTTGCACAGATCCCAGGACACCAGATTCTACAGGAAAATGGGAAATATTCCTGCTGTGACAAGCTTTTAATGTTTCTTCATTTGAAACATTAAGCAATTTTAGAGTTGCAGACCAGAGCCTGGAGAAAATTAGTTTTCTGCCTTTTTATTGCGCATGTTACAAACTGATTTGCAGTATACTACCCTGTTGCTTTTGCCATCATTTTCTTTTTTTTTTTAAGAATCATGATATTGCTGCATTGTCAGAATTAATGTTATTTATTTTACTTAAACGTCATTATCATACAACAGCATCCGTTATGACAAAGCCAGTATGTATTTTCAGCATATATAACAGAGAGGAAGACAAAACCCTGTAACAATGTATTCACTAAAACATCAACCTTAAGGAACAAACATTGATGTTTTTTAAAGGAGTAGTGACAAAGCTAACAGCAAATCTGCTACAGGCTGAGATTGGGTTTGTGTCCCTTAGTTTTTCATTGAGTGACTTACATCATAATGTCACACACACACACACACACACACACACACACACACACACACATGATTCATCAAGTGCTCATGTGTTCACTCAAGGAATAGACCAGAAATGCACTGGTGCAAAGCAAAAATGTCTCAGTCATAGCTAAACCAACGGCAGAGAGGGCAACAGCAACTAGGTCAGCTCTTTTCATGAACTTTCACTGGAGGAGGGAATGACATTTGTGGTTGAGTTATGGCTGAAGAAGAATGCTGGGTATATGATGTCGAATATGTTACTGATAACATATCATGGCTGTGTGCAGACAGGCAGGATGAAGGGCCCACGTGCAGGACTTACGGAGGCAAAAGTAAACTTGAAGACTCAAACAACTCAGAACAGACAACTTTAATTGGTGATACTGGGAACTGAACTTGAAACGGAACACACAGGCAGGTTTGAGGTTACAACGCGACGACAAGCAGGAGCAGACGCAGACACTAAATACAGAAGGGGAACAGGGCAAAGAGCAAACACCTGGGAGACACGGCTGACACAACGAAGACGGAGTACACCAAAACAGAACCTGACGCACACAGACTGAAGACTACCAAAGTAAAAAAGGAAGAACACTGACTGAACTTACAGACACAGACTCACGAGCAGACACTCTGACATCACAGACATGACAACAGAGGGAACACAGAGTCGTGGGACCAGGGTAGGCACAGAACAGAGGAGGGGCTGAAAACACAAAACAGAAACCAAAACATAGGATAATAATAATCAACACAGTATAACTAAAGAATCAGAACATAACCCATAACACAGGATCACATCAAAACATAGGAAGCTCAAAATGCTGTGTCAAAATGACCCAGAACCATGACATAACATATGGTTTACATACCCAGAACAAACCCACAGTACATGCTGGCATTGTTGCACTGAAACTTAAGTTCAAAGCTTTTTTACTGAAGTCAGTCAGTTATGCATGGCGAACTTTCAGCATGACAAACAACACCTTGTTTTTCTCTTGAAATATAAAGGTGGACATAATAAGAGATCTCAAGAAAGATTCAGTTTTCATATAATATGTCTGATGCTTGCTAAATACTTTGTTTAAACAAGGTGAAAGGATATAGATCTGACACTAAACTGTTTTGCATCCACCTCTCAAAAGTATAATAAATCATTTTGAAGATCCTCCATTGAAACTTATTATAGAGAAACTTAGAAAAATGAGTAAAAATGGAAATAACTGAAAGAATGGATGTCTGTCTCGATAGATGCTGTGCATATGGTGTTGGTGTATTGATGGAAGGCATTCATATTAATATAATTATATTCTTCTAATTTGTGTCTTGAATTGTTTTAGTGATATATGTGAAGTGTCTGGAAAGCCCCGTGTTATGAACATAGTCCTGTGTTGGGTAAAATTGGATAAACTTTACACGTTTGCTGGGTAAGACTTCTCAGTGTTGTGTCCACTCATTCATCTTTTGCTTATCTGAAGTTGAGTGTGGCAGCAAGCCAAGTAGGGTATATTCTAGATGTGTGGGATTGAAACGATGGGAAGACGTTTGAGTTTCTCAAAATGGGCTCATTGAGTGCAGCACGGATAAGATCTTGGAAAGGCTGATGGCTGCCGTGAATACTCGAATAAGATCTCTGAGTGCAGACTGGATTACATCTCGGAAGGGCTCGCTCGGAATAACATCTCTGAGCGTAAATTTGATGACATCTCGGGGAGGCACAAGAATCACAACATCACAGAGTGCAAGTATGGCGAAGCTCGCGGCTCTCCAATGGGAGATTGAGAGACCAGTGTTGGACTGTAGAACTGCTTTGAAATTCATATGAGCTGTTCGCACTAAAGTAAAAAGCACCATCACTTCATGCGGATACCCTCTCGGCGCCAGCTGTGGTCGCAAGGCTGGAGCCAAACAAAAACACCCTGATAACGACTGTGTTTAGTCTGTTCCTTCCCATTCAATGCAAGGCCACCTGGGTTGGCTGGAAGACTGTTTACTTAGCCTAGCAGGGCGAAGGACACTGTCTCAGCTGAACTCTGGACATGCACACACATACATATACACTGATATGCACACACTCATCCCCCCTCCCTTTCAAACACCTTTGATGCTTGTTCCCTCCTGGGAACACGGCGGGTCTAAGCCTGCGCTGGAATGGTAGCTCCTCACCCCTCACCCGACCCTGTAGCTTGTCATGTCTTTCATAATGTTGTGCTGTGGACAAAAGCTGTGTTGTGCGTTTTTGTGCAGAGGAGTTTTTTTGTTTCCTGTTCTCATGCTGTCCTCCCAGGAGCCCAGCATGAGTAGAGGTCTCTTTTTTTCCTCTTGTACTTTCCCATTGTAGTGTATATTTCAGTGGTTTTTTTTCTGTAACGCTACTGATCTCCGACCTGTATCCCCATGTGATGTCTGTGTTGTGTGTGTAAGGTCGGGGGGGTCCTATTTCACTGCAGGGCAACCTGCACGTGGCGAATAAAGCCTTGATTGATTGATTGATTGAATGAGATGTCAGCAAAATTTTCCAGTTTCTTCTTGTGGGGGATGCTGAGGTCAGATGAGATATCTATTTCTCTGGCGAGTTCTCCGTCTGCTCCAGGTTCTGCTTCCAACTGGGCATTTCTGGAAACCCTCCAATGGGATCCTAGCCAGATGCCCAAACCACCATTGGCTGCTTTTGACACAAATGACTATTTACAAATTTCTTTTGAAATATGAAATAATTTCATGAATGCATATATAAGCTTTGATGCTAAATTTGTGCAGTTGAGTTTTGCATTATGTACAACTGATGCAATTTTACAAGGGTTTCTCAGTAGTACAAACATCTTCCACTCACACTGATGATGCTAGCAGGCTAACCTGCTAGCATCATCAGAGTAGGCAGTGGACAGTTGTATATTGGACGAAATGTGATCCCCTACTGCACTGTACAGTCTATGCTCTCAATCATTTCTCAGCATTTGATGCCACAGCCAAGCGCAGCAGGGAGCCAGAGCATGTTTTTGACAACTCACCTTGGTGCTCTTCCTCATCGGGATCACGTGACAAGCCGACTGTGACTGGGCATTAGCAGATGGAGCCAAGTAATTACGCTGCTGACCTCTAACTTGGCTTCGCGCACTCAGATTTCAGCATGGGTTGGATGATAGCAAGGGAACAGATAAGTAGGGGTGAAGTGAGGTGAGATATATAAAAAATACATATATATCTCAAGATGGAAAAGGGGTGATCTTGACACTAGAAAAGAAATGAGACCCTGAAGACAAAGCTGGTCAGCTTGATTGGATTGGATGATTGAAGTAAATCTTTACTTTTTGTGCATCATCCTCTATTCATCAGCTTCTTCGATTTATCATCTCTACCTGCCTTCTCTCCCCACAGCAAGCACCCAGAATATAATCTATTATACTGCAGGGCCTCTTGTGATAAATGACTTCTGATACTGTTGTTTATTAAAGCTACTTTAATTCAGATTGCCTTATAAAACTCTATATTTGAATATAAAAAAGTAAAATGTAAAATTGTATTATCCTCAAACAGAAATTTCTCAAATAAAAAAACATCAGATGCCACCACTAATTTGTGACTTACTATTTTCAAGCCACACGTTTGGCATGTTGGCATTTTTGGAACCAGAAGTGATTGACTTTAAATGTAGGATTCACAAAAATCAGTTCTTAAAATGTCTTTCCTCTTAGATATTCCACAATCAACTGTAAGCTGTTTTACTGAAGAGTGAAAGCTGTAAGGAAGTTACAAAGCAGGGTCACTGAGTGCTGAAGTGCATAGTATCTATATACCAAGACTCTGCTGATTCATATAACTGCAGAGTTGCAAACCTCTTCTGGCATTAACATTGTGGCATGCACTGTCATGGCATATATTTCCATGGCTGAGCGTCTCCTGTAGGCGTAATATGTAGGTGGACAAATACTTTTGTCCATATAGTGTATATCTGGAATGGAAAGTAGAGTGTGTAGTTACCTTGAGGAACTAGTTTTGTGCACTTTTGGACTTTTTCAACTCCAGAGGTTGCCTCTTGGAATGGAATAAAATAAACCATTCAATAATTGAATGTAGTAGTTCCACTTAGTTATTTTGTTTTTAATTTGCAGGGTCAGTATTTCAGTACTTGGAGTACATTTGTGCATGAAGTCCTTAGGTCATGATAGTCCTTTGAATAAGCTCAGTGTAAGCCTTCTGTGTGTAGTGAGGGCCTTTCCAATTTGCTGTAAATCAAGACACTGTGCATTCCCCTAAAGCATTACTTCTTCTTGCAGTTGATCACAAGTCAAGCAGCATTTATCTATCAGGTATGTTAAGGTCTGCCTCTTGTGTCAAGTGTTTCAAAGCTGGGCTGTGAAATAAGGATTTCTCTGCTGCTGAAGTATCTGCTGATTGTTCCAATTCTTCTACTCGTTGACTGATCATGTGACGTTACAACATGCACCACAGACCAAAAAAAGTCCAGCAGCAGCAGCAGCAGCTTGGGCTGTGCAAGTTTAACTTCACGTTTCTGAAAAGTAAGTGTATACTCGTTTAAAAGCTTGATCTGTTAATTAAACTCTAACATGTCCATCCATCCTCCTGCCTATTTATCTATACAGCAATGCAACCATCGGCAACAAGGGACTACTTCACCCAAATCATTAAAAAAATAATGTTGTTTAATTTTTCATACAACTCTTTATAGTATTTAGTTTGTGAAGACACATTAAAATTAAAACTAATGAGCTGTACCTCAAAATAGTTAGAATAAGTCAAATAAATTTATTTCTTAAAGAAAAAAAAAACATTTTGAGATGATAATTACTTTTAAACAGATAAAGGCCAGTACCAATTGTATCATGTTTTGCTAGCAGGTGGCTAGTTTAGCCTAGATTAATGCCTGGAAAACTGCTAAAGCTAATATAGCTAAAGCTAACCATGCTGCTTTTCTTCACAATTTATAACAATATTCTCTCAGTATAAATTGTGTAAAATAAAGTGGCAAAAACATGATGCAGTGCTATGGAGGTTTTGTTCTGGGATAATCCGGCTTGTGGAATCTACTTTGAAAACTCTTAGCATCCATAGGCTAAGAAAGAGTGCATAAGTGTTTTTGTTTTTACTGATTTGGGAGAAATTAGCCTTGAAAAAAAAAAGACAACTCAGACATAAGCTACTCAGTCTGAACTTGGGAAACCAAAAGAATGGATGGCACTAAAGATTGTCTCTAAAGTGAAGCAGGAGATGCTTTCCACAGTTTACGGCTCTTACTGCTGGTGCTTTGGAGCATTTTGTCACTTATGAATGCTACCCATTTTTGCAATGATGCTTTGCAGGCTGCTGTATTATGCTTTTGACTCACTTCATAGTGCAACCTTATATTTAAATGGTCAATCATCATGTTATGTATGTAATGTAATGTATGTAGAAGTGAGTACAAATGGAAAAGTGTATATGTTTGAAATGGTTTCTGAACTTGTGTGAAGAGAAAGAATAAGATGTATGTTTACAGTTTGTTTAAATATGTATGTGCATGTATATGTTCAGTAAATATGAGCTGCTCTTATTTCCATCACACCTGTTGCGACGTCTCTTATCCTTGACGTAGTTGGCTCAAGTTCTGCCCCTCTTGTTCTTCTGGAAAGCTTGCTGTCATTTGTCTTCTCTTGCCAGCTATGAGGGCTGTCAATTGTTGGCTTTGGTTTCACTGAGATTGAGAAAGTGCAAGGCAGCAATCCAAAGCTTTGGGCTTTAAGCCTTGAAAATGAGATGAAATGCCAAGGGTTTACTTGTGTAAATGAAATCAAAAATCTGTTTTCAATGGTGTTCAGGGATTAAAAAATGCCCACCATTGTCAGAGCAATGAATCACAAATATCAGACTGAGGCATAATCAGCTTAGGTATGGCAGTAGATTCACACAACATTCACTTTATTTGCTTCTTTTCCATCCACATACTCAACTCATTTCTTTTTGTCTTTATCCCTTTATATAGCTTGCAGCCCAAGTTCTGGATGATTTTGATGATGAGGACATTGGGTTTGGCTTGGTGGATGAAAAGAAGGATGCCGCTGTTGCCAAAAAGCTTGGTGAGCATGACAGAAACACTGCTGGAAAATTAAGGGTCTTTGGATCAATGCAAATCTATGAAATCCCACTGTTTCCCACTTTTCTCACAGCCTTTCTTTATGCTGTCACTTTATGTACAGAAAAAAAAGGCTCTCATCAAATTGATCCAGTTGGTTCTTTTTTTTTGTTAATGAAATGTTTTAGTTATGTTACAGCACCTAATAATACCTAAAACATAGTACACAGTATTGCACTATTTAATAACTGACAGTATTGCTACACCAGAGCAAAAATAAATGTGATTTAAAAATCTATGAAATTAAATATTATTATAATGAAACACTTTTCTTGCACCAGGTCTTGATGAAGTGGACAGTATCTACATCTTTGCCGATAATGAGATTATTGAGTATGATGGAGAGCTAGCCGCCGACACCCTGGTTGAGTTTCTTTATGATGTAAGCAAATTCTTGTCATTCATTAAGGATGTTTAAATTCAACCGTTGTTAACTTCAGACCTCTTACGATACATCTGTTGTGCATGCATGTTTCAGTTGTATTATCTTTTAAAAGGATTGCTAAATTAATTTAATTATTCATTTCTATCCAACTTTAAGATGCTAATAAACTGAACTTACAGTTCCATCATTTCATTGTTGTTTTATCAGGTGATTGAAGACCCCGTGGAGATCATTGGCAACGACCGTGAGCTTAAGGGTTTCTACAACATGGATGAGGTCATCAGGCTTGTCGGCTACTTCAAGAGTGAAAGATCTTCTCGTATGTTAAAAATTAAGACTTAAAGGCTGAGTCTCAAAAAGACCCTAAGCAATTAATACTGCTTTTTTTTTTCAATGTGGAATTTTTTTTTCCTTTTGTTTTTACCATGCAGATTTCACTGAGTATAAAGATGCTGCTGAGGAGTTCCACCCTTTCGTCAAATTCTATGCCACATTTGACCCCAAGGTTTAAACTGCCTGATTGAGTATTTCTATTATGTTGGGACATTTTAGCAATTTTAATTTCAAATTTTAAGGTTATGTAATTGAGCTTGGTACCGTATATTTTATAGTATGCATTTACTTTGTATCGAGTGCCTAAAACATTTAAAAATCACTGCTGTGCTACTTTATTTCTACTTTAGTTCATTGGTTTTTCTTTTCTTTCAGATTGCCAAGAAGCTGAAACTGAAGATCAATGAGGTTGATTTCTATGAGCCATTTATGGATGAACCTCTGCCTATTCCAGGAAAGCCCTACATCGAGTCTGAGATTGTTGAATTCATTGAGCAGCATGATAGGTGGGATACTGACATAAAGAGCTTAAGGATATATGTGGCTGTTTGTGTGTTTCCAACATTTTTAGATTGGGTTTCTCAGAGAGCACCAAGACATATTATTATAGCAGGAAAGTCCATGTGTGTGTGTGTCATTTTATATGTAGTATAATGTAGTTTTGTCCTCATGCTGAACACTAATCTAGCAGTTCCATCTAGTGGTCGCTCCTATTACTCTCCTGCACTGTACTGTTGTTGATAGTAACTTTTAAAGCAGTTGTTATGCTAGAATATGCATGATCTTTTGCAAAAGTCCATTGTTAAACATAAACATAAACATTTTAAATGTCAAACAATTACAGTTTTTAACTTAATTACAATAATGGTGGTGGTCATGTTTCAATATAGCATCATCTTATTCATATAAGTGATACATGACAAAATACTCTCGTCATTTTTATGTTATACTAAAAAAACAGTTTTGTGTTTATAAACTTTAAGATTGTTTTATGTTTCAGGCCCACTCTGAGGAAACTTGAGCCTTACAGCATGTATGAGATCTGGGTAAGAGATCTGAGATTGCTTTGTAATAAAAAAAACCCCTCCAAAACATTCAACTTATCATATTCAGAGTTACTTTTGTTGTTATTTTAGAGCATAAATATTCAAAATGCTTTCATGAACCTCTTTTGCACTTACAGGAGGATGACATTGATGGAGAACACATTGTTGCCTTTGCTGAGGAGGATGATCCAGGTGATTTTCTGCCTTAGTGTTAGAACTAAACAGGTGAACCGATGTGGACACACTGAGGCAGAGGCTGTAAAAGAGATGAGCCGGTGATAAGAAAGAAGAGGCTAGGGCTTTGGCTAAGAGGTGGAAACCTGGGATGAGGGCTTGGGTTAGTGGCTGCAGCTGGCAGAGCTCTGTTCAGACACCAGAGCACCTTTTTCAGTTCTTATCCAACACACCAGCACAGGGTGGATGGGAGGAAATGGCTCATGGATTAAATCAGTGCGAAGTTCATATATGAACCCCATACTTCAGTATCACTGGTACAATAGCTGACCTTTCTTTATCTCTAGATGGCTTTGAATTCCTGGAGATTCTCAAGGAAGTGGCACGTGATAACACTGATAATCCTAACCTCAGCATCATCTGGATTGATCCTGATAATTTCCCTCTGGTATGAATTTTCTCAGTTAAAGTGCATATCTACTACATTGGAAATTATTTGTGTTCTTGATGTAGTCTACTTACAGGATAAAAATTACCCTAATGATTTAAAAAAAAAATGTCTCCATTTAATGCTTTCTTTTCTTTCCCTTTTTTCTGTTTCTCTTTTCAGCTGGTTCCATACTGGGAGAAAACCTTCCGCATTGACCTCTCTTCTCCTCAGATTGGTGTAGTTGATGTTGAGGATGTAAGCAAACTTTCAGCTAACCCATAAAAAAACTGGCTATCTGTACAGCATGAGTTACTCAAATGGTTATTACCTCATGCTTTGATAATCAAAAGAGGGAAAAACCCTAAAATTCATGTGTAACTAACCATCCATCCATCCATCCAGGCTCATTTTTAATTGTTTAACAATATTTGCTCGTCAACATGGTCTATTTGTTGGTGCCATTGCCAAACAGTCTCTGAAAGATTAAAGCACTTTGACAGTAACTTTTCTTAAAGTAACTATGATTGTTATTGTCTAACAAAAATGTATCAAATGTGACACAAATACAACAGTCCTGATGAGGCCTTAGCTGAATCAGATTCTTAATGGAGCTTAATAGTAAGCTCTTTGTTTAGTTTCATGGTTTCTAAATTTGCCATTTTGATTCACTTCCTGGCACTCGTTAATGACCAAACAGGGTTGAGGGTAGTAGAGGAGATCAAGTAACAAGTTTAAGGAGAGGGAAACTTGCCCATCCAGCAACTGTTAACAAGTAGTCAAATTAACCCTTTATTGTCTAATGTGTGTGGCGAGCACATGCCATTAACACACAACTGTTATATTGTCCTAAAGGAAATGAGTCGCCATGCAGGGCCCATGTGCATAAATGTGAATTTTTCTTTTGAATGTATAAATGTCTGTCACCGACAGGCTGACAGTGTTTGGATGGAAATGGATGACGACGAAGACATGCCAACAGCCGATGAGCTCGAAAAGTGGATCGAGGATGTTCTGTCTGGAAAGATTGATCCAGATGACGATGATGAAGACGATGA